ATATAGTGAATGCAGGGTCCGGGGGAGACCAGATATAGTGAATGCAGGGTCCGGGGAGACCGGATATAGTGAATGCAGGGTCCGGGGAGACCGGATATAGTGAATGCAGGGTCCGGGGAGACCGGATATAGTGCATGCAGGTCCGGGGAGACCGGATATAGTGAATGCAGGGTCCGGGGAGACCGGATATAGTGAATGCAGAGTCCGGGGAGAGAGGATATAGTGAATGCAGGGTCCGGGGAGACCGGATATAGTGAATGCAGGGTCCGGGGAGACCAGATATAGTGAATGCAGGGTCCGGGGAGAGCGAATATAGTGAATGCAGGGTCCAGGGAGAGCGAATATAGTGAATGCAAGGTCCGGGGATAGCGGATATAGTGAATGCAGGGTCCAGGGAGAGCGGATATAGTGAATGCGGGGTCCGAGGAGAGCGGATATAGTGAATGCAGGGTCCAGGGAGAGCGGATATAGTGAATGCAGGGTCCAGGGAGAGCGGATATAGTGAATGCAGGGTCCGGGGAGAGCGGATATAGTGAATGCAGGGTCCAGGGAGACCAGATATAGTGAATGCAGGGTCCGGGGAGAGCGGATATAGTGAATGCAGGGTCCGGGGAGACCGGATATAGTGAATGCAGGGTCCGGGGAGAGCGGATATAGTGAATGCAGGGTCCTGGGTTTACTAACACTTTAAGGCCAGTCAGAACATTGTGCTTTTATTCTGATTGTTAGCTCTTTTGGGATTTCATTCCTTTTGTGCAATTCTTTAATTTTTATTTTATGGTGATAGGTCCTTTTTTAAGTTTAAAGTGGTTTTAAATGTAAAAAAAAAACCTCTAACAAACATGTCTATACTTACCTGCATGGAGAAATAGAATTGCACAGAATGACCCCCGATTCTCCCCCCGCCATCGCTCCTGGCTTCTCCTCTCTTACTGGCACCCCCATAGGAAGCCAGGAGAACCGCAGCCCTCATGCACACTGCTGGATCGTGATGGGGCTCAGCTAAATATAAGGGGGGGGGGGGGTGAGGGGGCACAGAAGGTTTTTGTTATCTTAATGCACTGAATGCATTAAGGTAGAAAACCTTCAAGCTTTAGAACCACTTCAAAACGCTCAAAGTGGAGCATTCATTTGTTGCTGTCCATCTGTTCTCTAGAAAGCTTTTTGATCACAGCCACTGCATTGTTTAAAGAGAAAAAAAAGAAAAACCGAAATGCAAGAACAGTGTGCACCAGAATGGGTGATTGGCCGAATGATCAGACAGGGAGTAACTGGAACTTGCAGTCTAATAAACAAGCACAACATTAGAATCAATAATGCAAAACGGGTTCAGGAAGGCAAAAAAAACATACAAACACTACAGAGTAATGAAATCTGTACAAACATGGACTCCTCACATCAATCGGGGATCAGGAAGGAATTTTTTCCCCTGCAGGTGCAAATTGGATCATGCTGTGCTGTTTTTTTTTGCCTTCTTCTGGATCAACTGTGGGTGTAGGATTATAACTTTTGCTTTTTTTTAAATGGTTGAACTGGATGGACATTTGTTTTTTTTTTCAGCCAGACTAACTATGTAAGGTCTGTGTGGCTCAGTCACAGTGCAGTATTTCTGAATAGGCAGATTAGGCATAGGCCATACAAGGTAATGATGGGCGCAAGGCGGTTCTGGGAGGATGTCATATGATGTCCTCCTACTCTAACTGCGGGGGCGCTCAGTGCGGCAATCAGTGGTGCGGATCATCGATCAACGGAAAGACGTTGGCTCTGTCATGTGATCAACTGTGTCCAATCACAGCTGATCACATGTACAGTGAGGATCGAAAGTTTGGGCACCCCAGCTAAAAAGTTGTATTAATGTGCATAAAGAAGCCAAGGAAAGATGGAAAAATGGAGAAAATCTCCAAAAGGCATCAAATTACAGATCAGACATTCTTATAATATGTCAACAAAAGTTAGATTTTATTTCTATCATTTACACTTTCAAAATAACAGAAAACAAAAAAATGGCGTCTGCAAAAGTTTGGGCACCCTGCAGAGTTAATATCTTGTACTGCCCCCTTTGGCAAGTATCACAGCTTGTAAACGCTTTTTGTAGCCAGCCAAGAGTCTTTCAATTCTTGTTTGAGGTATCTTTGCCCATTCTTCCTTACAAAAGTCTTCCAGTTCTTTGAGATTTCTGGGCTGTCTGTCACGCACGGCTCTTTTAAGGTCTATCCATAGATTTTCAATGATGTTGAGGTCAGGAGATTGTGAAGGCCATGGCAAAACCTTCAGTTTACGCCTCTTGATGTAATCCCCCGTGGATTTCGAGGTGTGTTTAGGATCATTATCCATTTGTAGAAGCCATCCTCTCTTTAACTTCAGCTTTTTCACAGATGGCATCAAGTTACCATCCAAAATTTGCTGAAATTTTATTGAATCCATTTTTCCTTCTACTTGTGAGATGTTCCCTGTGCCACTGGCTGCAACACAACCCCAAAGCATGATTGATCCAACCCCATGCTTAACAATTGGACAGAGGTTCTTTTCATTAAATTCTGTGCCCCTTCTTCTCCAAACGTACCTTTGCTCATTCCGGCCAAAAAGTTCAATTTTAACCTCATCGGTCCACAGAACTTGTTTCCAAAATGCATCAGGCTTGTCTATATGTTCATTTGCAAAGTTCAAACGATTTTTGTGGTGAGGACGTAGAAGAGGTTTTCTTCTGATGACTCTTCCATGAAGACCATATTTGTACAAGTATCTCTTTATAGCGGAATAGTGTACCACAACTCCAGTGTCTGCCAGATCTTTCTGGAGGGATCGTGCAGTCAAACGTGGGTTTTGAATGGTTTTTCTCACAATCCTGCGAGCTGTTCTGTCTGATATTTTTCTTGGTCTTCCAGATGTTGCTTTAACTTCCACTGTTCCTGATGACTGCCATTTCTTAATTACATTCCGAACAGAGGATATTGACATCTGAAAACGCTTTGCTATCTTCTTATAGCCTTCTCCAGCTTTGTGAGCGTCAACTATTTTCAGTTTCAGTTTTCTAGACAACTGCTTAGAAGAACCCATGGTGCTGATTGTTGGGGCAAGGTCAGATGAGTCTGGGCATTTAAAACCTTTGAGATTGACATCACCTGGTCTTCCCAGATGATGATTGAGAACAATCCATGACACTGGCAGGTCTCAGCTTGGCAAAGGGGGCAGTGCATGCTATAAATTCTGCAGGGTGCCCAAACTTTTGCAGACGCCATTTTTTTGTTTTCTGTTATTTTGAAAGTGTAAATGATGGAAATAAAATGTAACTTTTGTTGACATATTATAAGAATGTCTAATCTGTAATTTGATGCCTTTTGGAGATTTTTCCATCTTTCCTTGGCTTCTTTATGCACATTAATACAACTTTTTAGCTGGGGTGCCCAAACTTTCGAACCCCACTGTAAATAAGGAGATGCCGTTATCGGCATTTCTCTTCTCATAAGCTGTCACGCTGACAGAGGAGAGGAGAGCTGGTAATCGGCATTCCTCAGAGGGGACATCTACACTGATCATCAGGACACTGATGATCAGTGTGCCCTGATGATCAGTGTAGCCCCATCAGTGCCACTTGTCAGTGTCCATCAATGCTACCTACCAATGCCCATCAGTGCCACATCAATGCCACCTGCCAATGTCCATCAGTGCCACATCAATGCCACCTGCCAATGTCCATCAGTGCCACATCAATGCCACCTGCCAATGTCCATCAGTGCCACATCAATGCCACCTGCCAATTCCACCTATCAATGCCAGTCAGTGCTGCCTATCAGTGCTGCCAGTCAGTGCCTCCTATCAGTGCTAGTCAGTGCTGCCTATCAGTGCCGCCTAACAGTGCCCGTCATTGCCACCTAAAAGTGCCAGTCAGTGCCTCCTATCAGTGCCAGTCAATGCTGCCTATCAGTGCCCGTCAGTGCCACCTAACAGTGCCAGTCAGTGTTGCTTATCATTGCCGCCTATCAGTGCCATATATGAGTACTGCCTTTCTGTGCCTATCAGTGCCACCTACCAGTGCCTCCTCATCAGTGCTGCCTATCAGTGCAGCCCATCTGTGCCCATCACTGCAACCTCATTAGCGCACATCAGTGAAGGAGAAAAATCACTTATTTACAAAATTTTATAACAGAAACTAAGAAAAAAACATTTTTTTTCAAAATTTTCAGTTGTTTTTGGTTTGTTTAGCAAAAAATAAAAAATCCCGAGGTGATTAACCCCTTCATGGCGGCGCCTCCTGGCCCTTTAAGTGTTTCAGAAGCCGGGGGGCGGGGTTTAGGGATCATGTGACTGCCGTGACACGTCATCACAGCAATCACATGATCGGGAAAGGTTCCGATCGAAAGAGAAGACCGGGATCTTTCTGTGATTACCGGACATGTGTGCGGGGAGTGCGCAGGGCGCGCGCTCTCAGCACATATGTTTTTTTATAATTGAATGCAAATGTGCGGCCGCTCGGCGTCTAGGCCCAGATGCCAGGAGGCCACACATTTGTTGGCAGCCGGCGTGAAGAGGTTAAATACCACCAAAAGAAAGCTCTATCTGTCTCAAAAAAATGATAAAAATGTCACATGGTTACAGTGTTGCATGACTGTGCAATTGTCATTCAAAGTGCGGCAACGCTGAAAGCTGAAAGTTGGCCTGGGCAGGAAGGGGGTATAAGTGCTCTGTAGGCGAGGGGTTAAAGGCCCCGTGAGAACAGATAAAAAATAGTATTGATTTGATCTTGAAAGAAAAATTACAATGAAACTTTCTTAAATTGTTTACAAAAGATATAAAAAACCGAATCAACTCAAAGAAGCAAAACCTTTCTATTAAATGAACCTATAGAGAAAATCCTGTATTAATGTACCTAAAAACAACGTAACCGCTTGGTAACCATGCTATAGCCGAATGACGTGGTTATACCGTGGTTACCCAGTTTTGGGAGGGTGTCATATGACGTCCTCCCAGAATGCGTCCAGTGGCGCACACCCAGCGACAGTTGACTCTGCAGACAGTTGGTGACTTCTGTGCACTGAGTGCTTCAGCATGCGCTGACCCCGCCCTGTCATGTGACGTGGCCTACCACTTGGTGGCTGAGTGGCTGTTGTTCCCAGTGGCTTCCACTTTGTTATCATTCCACTAACAGTTGAGCGTGGAATATTTAGTAGCCAGGAAATGTCACAGATGGACTTATTGCACAGGTGACAACCTATCACAGTGCCTTGAAAAAGTCTTCCTCCCCTTGAAATGTTCTCCATGTTGTCATGTTACAACCAAAAACATCAATGTATTTTATTGGGATTGGATGTGATAGACCGACACAAAGTGGCACATAATTGTGAAGTGGAAGGAAAATGAGAAATGGTTTTCAATATTTTTTAACCAATAAATATCTGAAAAGTGCAGCGGCATTTGTATTCATCCCCCAGAGTCAATACTTTGTAGGTTGCAATTCCAACTGCAAGTCTTTTTGGGGATGTCTCTTTGCACATCTAGAGAGGGACATTTCTGCCCATTCTTCTTTGCAGAATCGCTCAAGCTCTGTCAGATTGGATGGAGAGCATCTGGGAACAGCAATTTTCAAGTCTTGCCACTGATTTTCCATTGGATTTAGGTTGTGACTTTCATTCTAACACATGAATATGCTTTGATCTGAACCCTTCCATTGTAGCTCTGGCTGGAAGTTTCAGGTCGTTGTCCTGCTGGAAGGTGAACCTCTGCCCCGGTCTCAAGTCTTTTGCAGACTTTAATAGGTTTTCTTCTAAGATTGCCCTGTATTTGGTTCCATCCATCTTCCCATCAACTCTGACCAGCTTCCCTGTCCCTGCTGAAGAAAAGCATTCCCACCACATGATGCTGCCACCACCATGTTTCACGGTGGGGATGGTGTGTTCAGGGTGATGTGCAGTGTTAGTTTTCTGCCACACATAGCGTTTTGCTTTTAGGCCAAAAAGTTCAATTTTAGTCTCCTCTGACCAGAGCCCCTTCTTCCACATGTTTGCAGTTTCCCCTTCATGGCTTCTCGCAAACTGCAAACTGGACTTCTTATGGCTCTCTTTCTTCTTGCCACCTTCCATAAAGGCCAGATTTGTGGAGTGCATGACTAATAGTTATCCTGTGGACAGATTCTCCCACCTGAGCTGTGGATCTCTGCAGCTCCTCCAGAGTTCCCATGGGTCTCTGTCTGCTTCTCTGATGAATGCTCTCCTTGCCCGGCCTGCTAATTTAGGGGGACGGGCATGTCTTGGTAGGTTGGCAGTTGTGCCATATGCTTTCCATTTTCGAATGATGGGTTGAACAGTGCTCTGTGAGATGTGAAAGCTTGGGATATTTTTTTTATAACCTAAACTTGCTTCAAACTTCTCCACAACTTTATCCCTGACCTGTCTGATGTGTTCCTTGGCCTTCATGATTCTATTTGTTCACTTATGTCCTCTAACAAACCTCTGAGGGCTTCACAGAACAGCTGTATTTACAATGAGATTAAATTACACAGGGGTGGGCTCTCTTTACTAATTAGGTGACTTCTGAAGGTGATTGGTTCTACTAGATTCTAATTAGGGGTTTCAGAGTAATGGGGGATGAATGCACACCACACATTTCACAGATTTAACTGTAAAAAATGTTGAAAACCATTTATCATTCCACTTCACAATTATGTGCCACTTTGTGTTGGTCTATCACATAAAATTCCAATAAAATACATTGACGTTTTTGGTTGTAACATGACAAAATGTGGAAAATTTAAAAAAGGTAAGAATGCTTTTTCAAGGCTCTGTATCAGAGTACCACGCCTGGAGTCACTGAGCTCCTGAGAGCGACCCATTCTTTCACCAATGTTTGTAGAAGCAGCCTGCATGCCTAGGGGCTTGATTGTATACACCTGTGGCCATGGAAGTGATTGGAACACCTGAATCACATGATTTGGAGGGCGGGCCCAATACTTCTAACAATATAGTGTACATGAAAATACAGTTGCAAGAAAAAGTATGTGAACCCCTTGGGATTACGTGGAGTTTTGCATGAATTGGGCATAATATGTGCTCTGAACTTCATCTAGGTCACAACAATAGAAGAACACAGTCTGCTGAACATAATACTACACAAACATTAGATGTTGCCATGGTTTAATTGCACATAACATATAAACATTCACAGTTCAGGGAGGAAAAAGTATGTGAACCTTTGGACTTAATAACTGGTTGACCCTCCTTTGGCAGCAATAACCTCAACCAAACGTTTCCTGTAGTTGCAGATCAGCACAACGATCTGGAGTCATTTTGGACCACTCCTCTTCACAAAACTGTTTCAGTGTAGCAATATTCTTGGGATGTCTGGTGTGAATGGCTCTCTTAAGGTCATGCCACAGCATTTCAATGGGGTTGAGGTCAGGACTCTGACTGGGCCACTCCAGAAGGCGTATTCTGTGCTGTTGCAGCCATTGTTTTGTCGAATTACTTGTATGCTTTGGGTCATTGTCCTCTTACATCACCCGTCCTCTGCAGAGCTTCAGTTGGCGGACAGATGGTCGTACGTTTTCCTGCAAAATGTCTTGATAAACTCTGGAATTCATTTTCCCATCAATGACAACAATCCGTCCAGGCCCTGAGGCAGCAAAGCAGCCCCAAACCATGATGCTCCCTCCGCCATGTTTCACAGTGGGGATGAGGTTTTGATGTTGGTGTGCTGGGCCTTTTTTTCTCCACACATAGTGTTGTGTGTTCTTCCCAAACAACTCAATCTTGGTTTCATCTGTCCACAGTATATTTTGCCAGTAGTGCTGTGGAACATCCAGGTACTCTTTTGCAAACTTCAAACGTGCTGCAATCTTCTTTTTGGCCAGCAATGGCTTCCTCCGTGGTGTCCTCCCATGTACTCCATTCTTGTTTAATGTTTTCCTTATTGTAGATGTGTCAACAAAAATGTTAGCATGTGCCAGAGATTTCTGTAGGTCTTTAGCTGACACTCTGGGATTCTTCTTTACCTCATGCAGCATTCTGTGCTGTGCTCTTGCAGTCATTTTTACAGGACGACCACGCCTAGGGAGAGTAGCAACAGTGCTAAACTTTCTCCATTTGTAGACAGTCTGTCTTACCATGGACACATGAACATCAAGGCTTTTGGAGATACTTTTGTAACCCTTTCCAGCTTCATGCAAGTCAACAATTCTTGATCGTAGGTCTTCTGAAAGCTCTTTTCTGCGAGGCATGGTTCACATCAGACAGTGCTTCTTGAAACCAGTAAACCCAAAACAGGTGTGTGTTTTTTAAGGGCAGGACAGCTGTCAGCAACACATCCAATATCATCACACTGATTGGAGTCAAGGTTGGCTCACTCCTGGCTCCAATTAGCTCTGGGAGACATCATTAAGCTAGGGCCTCACATACTTTTTCCTCCCTGCACTGTGAATGTTTACATGTTATGTGCAATTAAACCATGGCAACATCTAATGTTTGTGTAGTATTATGTTCAGCAGACTGTGTTCTTCTATTGTTGTGACTTAGATGACGTTCAGAGCACATTTTATGCCCAATTCATGCAAAACTCCACGTAATCCCAAGGGGTTCACATACTTTTTCTTGCAACTGTATAACATCCTCACCATACACACATATGAACATTACGCCCCCCATATAAAAACTATAAAGGAACCCCTACCACAACAACAAGCCAACTCACTTGGAGCTAGATAATATTATTAAAAATGACCATTTAGGGTCTTGATAGCTCTTGGAAAGAAACTTTCCTTGAATCGGTTTGTTCTCGCCTTTATATTTCTGAACCTCCTGCAAGAATGCAGAAGTTCAAAAAGATAGTTTCCAGGGTGGGACAGGTCACTAATTTTGCCTGCCCCGCTGACACAATGAGACTTGCAAATTTTGTTTAAAGAAACTAACCTACAGCCCACAACCTTCTGCACAACTTTTATTATTTTCTGAAGGACATCCTTCCCTGCCAGTGTGCAGTTGGAATACCAGGCTAAAATTCCGTACGTCGGCACACTCTCAATGGAGGAACAATAGAAGGTCTCCAAGACTTTTTTCTCTAGGCATATTTCCTGAGAAGTTTCAGGAAACTCAATTGTTGCTGACACTTCTTGGTAAAAGCTGTCACGTTCAATGACCAGGATACATTTTCTGAAATAATAATACCTAAAAATTTAGAGGCAGACCCCCGCTCTACCAATTCTCCTCCGACGTAGAGTGGAACCATGTCAGTCCTGCTCTTCCTAAAATCAGTTATTAATTCCTTAGTCTTCCCAGTGTTTAGGGACAAATTGTTTGCCTCACACCACTCTACTAGATTGGCCACCTGTTCCCTGTAATGCTTCTCATCCCCTCTTGTGATACAACCTACTATGGTGGCATCATCTGTGAATTTGATGATACAATTTGTAGAAAAGCAGGGGAGTACAATCACAAGTGTATAGAGAGAGAGTAAAGAAGAGGACTCAGTACACAACTTTGTGATACTCCTATGCTGACCACATGCTGGGATGAAACATGCGTACCCAGTTGGACCACCTGTGGGCGGTCTACCAGGAAATCCTTTATCCAAGAGCAAAGGGAAGGGGGCATATTCAACTTAAGCATCTTCTCCACCAATAGATCTGGGACAATGGTGTTTAAAAGTTGAAATAGAGTCAATGAACAAAATTCTTACGTAGTTGCCAGAGTGTTCCAGGTGACTTAAAGCCACATGTAGTGCAAGAGCTATAGGGAGCATCCTCACTGCTTCTATTGGCTCTGTATGCAAATTGGTAAGGGTCTAAACTACCTGGTTAGGCTGTTTTAATACATTTTAACATCGATCTCTCAAAGCACTTCATTATTGTTAGGGTGAGTGCAATTGGCCTATGTTTGCTTTTTTGGAATGGGAGTAATGATAGTAGATGTATGATAATACCACCTACAGGTTTAATATGTGCCCCAAGCATGTTATTTAAAGGATTTATGCATTTTCAATGTTGCCCTCAAAACCAGTTGGATCCAGTTGGATATGTTTCCATCATGTTATACACCTTAGGGGTAAAGAGAGCTCCCAAACCCCCAAAGAGCCAGATGGAGGAAGTGATTATTTGGTGTAAACTTCAGCCACAAAGGGTTTAAGGTTATAGAGCACTTCCAAGCATGAAGTGAATGATTCCATTATTGGCTGTGTGGAAACTGTGCCTGTAGGAAGGAGAGGTGGCAGCATGTCTTTGGAAGATCTGTAAGGACAACAGTAGAGCTTCTCCTTCTCTATTTACAAAGATCTTCTCTGTCCAGCACTGTGCTGAATATTCCAGCGTTCACCAATTCTCTGCTGACATCTCCAACCCCCTTTTCTTTGTCTCACTCTCCTGCCTACTTCTATTCTGCTGTCTTCATGCTTTACCCCTTCCTTCCTTCCTTCCTTCCTTCCTTCCTTCCTTCCTTCCTTCCTTCCTTCCTTCCTTCCTTCCTTCTTCTCTGTCTCTCTCCTTTCCTCCCTCTCCCTCCTTCTCTCTCTCTTTTTCTCCATTTTCTCTGAGCTTTCCTCTCTCTTCCACTCTCTCTCCAGTCTTCTCTATTTCCCTCTGCCCCCCCCCCCCCATTCCTCTTTCTATAGCTCCCTTCCACCCCCCCTCTCTCTCTTTCCTCACTATCTCTTTATCCCCCCTTTCTCTCTCCCCCTTCCTCTCTCCCCCTCCCCTCATCTATCCCCTTTCCCCCTCCCTTCCCCTCTCTCTCCCCTCCCCTCTCTCTCCCCCCCTTCCTCCCATCCACCCCCCCCCCTCTCTCTATCCCCTTCCCCTCTCTCTCCCCCTATCTCCCCCTTCCTCTCTATCTTCCCTATTTCTCCCCTCCTCTCTCTCTCTCTCCCTTCCTTCCCTCTCTCCCCTATCCCCTCACCTTCTCTCCCTCCCTCTATCCCCTCTCCTCCTCCCCCCCCCTCTCCCCCTTCTCTCTCTCTCTCTCCCCTATTTCTTCACCCCTTCTCTCTTTCCCTTGCTCTCTCTCCCCCCTTTCTCTCTCTCTCTCTCTCTTGCTCTCTCTCTCTCCCCCTTCCTTCCCTCTCTCTCTCTTTCCCCTATTCCCTCCCCTTCTCTCCCTCTCCCACCCCCTCTCCCTTCATCTCTCCCCCCCCTTTCTCGCTCCTATTTCTCCCCCCTTCTCCCTCCCTCTATCCCCCTTCCTCCCCCTCCCTCTCCCCCTCCCTTCCCCTCTCTCCCCCACCCCCCTTCTCTCTCTCTCACCCTTCCTCTCTCCACCCCCCCTCTCCCCCTTCCTCCCCTCCCCCCTCGTCTCTCTCTCTCTCTCCCTTCCTCTCTCCCCTATTTCTGCCTCCCCCCCCTCTCCTATCCCCCTTCTCCCTCCCTTCTTCTCTCTCTCTTCCCTATCCCTGCTTCTCTTTCCCTCTCTCCCCCCTATCCCCCCATCTCTCTCTCTCCCCTATCCCCCCTCTCTCCCCTACCCCCCCTCCCTTCCTCTCTCTCCCCCCACCCCCCCTTCTCTCTCTCCCTTCCTCTCCCCCCTTCTGTCTCTCCCTTCCTCTCTCGTCCCTCCCTCCCCCATCCCCCCCTTCTCTCTCCCTTCCTCTCCCCCCTTCTCTCTCTCCATTCCTCTCTCTCCCCCCCCCTTCTGTCTCTCCACTCTCTCTCTCTCCCCCACCCCCCCTCTCTCTCCCTCCCCCCCCTCTCTCTCTCCCTTCCTCTCCCCCCCCCTTCTGTCTCTCCCTTCCTCTTACACATTTTATCTGTTATGTAGTTCTCTGTTTTTAAGAGATCTCATCTCTGGGGGGGGGGGGGCTCTTTTCCGGGTGGAGGATTCTGGGGAGCTCCCTCTCCTCTTCCCTGTGTATAGAATTGTTTTCACGATTAGACTGGGGGATGATGAAGTTATTATCATAATATTATTCTAATTAAGTCTCTGTGTTCCCTCCATTCCTCCATTGGCCCCGATGGCTCCGG